CAAATCGCCCTGTGGATGGGGTGGGTGAGGACAGAAGAGATCATGGAGAGGGTATGCCAGGGAAGGAAATTTAGGGGTTGCAGGTTGAGTGCTGTGGCAGGCCTCCAGCCCAGCGGGTGACCCTCGTCTTCCCGCTGCTGCAGCATGAGAAGGCGAAGAGGGGGCCGAGGCCGGGTCTGCAGCTCCGCAGGGGCAGCTGCTCTTCGTTTCCACCCTTCCTCACAGAGGTCTAATTTTGAGCCTAAGCTGAATTTTGCTCAGCTCATCATGCAGGTTAGTTTCCAGTGACTTTGCAGCAGCAGCAGGGCCAGTTCTCATTGCAAAACTACAATTAGTTTAGTTTTTGTTGGTTGTGGGGCTTGAACTCTGGGCCTGGGCGCTGTCCCTGAGATCTTCAGCTCAAGGCGAGTGCTCTACCACTTGAGCCACAGTGCCACTTCCAATTTCCTGGTGGTTAATTGGAGGTAAGAGTTTCAAGGGCTGAGTGCCCATGGCTCACGCCTGTAATCCTAGCTACTCAGGAGTCCGTGAGACTCTGATCTCCAATAAACCACTAGAAAACCAGAAGTGGTGCTATGGCTCAAGCGTAGAGCGTTCATCTTTAGCTGAAGAGCACAGGGACAGCGCCCAGCCAGGCCCAGAGTTCAAGCCCCATGACTAACAAAAAAAAAAAAAAAAAGTCTCATAGACTTTCCTGCCCAGGCTGGCTTTGAACCGAGATCCTCAGATCTCAGACTCCTAAGTAGCTAGGATTACAGGTATGAGCCACCAGCACCCAGCTACTACAATTATTCTTATTCCTTGTTTTGTTGGTCAGTCGTGGGGTCTGAACTCTAGACCTGGACACTGTCCCTCAGCTTTTCAGCTCAAGGGTAGTGCTCTACCAGTTGAGCCACAGCTCCATTTCCAGCTTTTTCTGTTTATGTGGTACTGAGGAATCGAACCCAGGGCCTCATGCATGTGAGGCAAGCACTCTACCACTGAGCCACCTTCCCAGCCGATTTTGTTAGTTTTTGAGACATGGTCTCACTATGTAGCCCAGGTGGTCCTCAAATTTGAATCTTCCCACTTCAGCTTTCTGAGTGCTGGGCTTACAAGCATGCACCATCATGCCCAGCTCTAATTTTGTGGTTATTGTTTTGTTAAAATAAGGCTAGAGAACACATTTCTTGAGTTAGGGGATCAAATCCAGGGCTTGTGCATTTGAGGTAAGCATTATCCCCACCCCCCCAACCCTTTAGCACAGCATTGAGTCAAGACTTAAAAAAACAATTATTTATTTTATGGTGCTGGGTACTGAACCCAGGGCCTTGGCACTTTGGGCATGCCCTCTGAGTTACATCATTTGGTTTTCTGAGTCAGTATTACTCTATAGCCTAAGCTGGCCTTGAATTTCATATAAACGCAAGATCATCCTGCCTCAGCTTCCCTCATGCTGGGATTAAAGGTGTGCAGCACCATGCCCACCTTGGTCAAGACTTTTAAATTAAGCTTTCATTTATGAGTTTTATTTGTGTGTATATTACCTTGTTGCACAAAGGTATTATAGCAACTTACTACAAATAAGATAGACTAAAATACAGTAGAATAAAAATTAAAAGATTGGGGGTGAATGTATAAGCAGAAAGCTAAAATAAAGCAACTCTACTAAGGAGACTCAGAACGACTTAAAAGTGATTTCTTGCCAGGCACTCGTGACTCATGCCTGTAATCCTAGCTACTTAGGTGGCTGAGATCTGAGGCTTACAGTTTGAAGCCAGCCCAGCAGGAAAGTCTGTGAGACTCTTACCTCCAGTAAACTACTCCGAAAAAGTTAGAATTGGTATTGTGGCTCAAGTGGTCTTGAGCAAAGGCAGCTCAGGGACAGCTTCCAGACCCAGAGTTCAAACCCCAGGACTGGCAAAACACACACACACACACACACACACACACACCAAATTTAAAAAAAAAATCTCAAATTTAACTTTGAGTTTCCTAGTAATCAAACCAAGAAGAAAACACAACAAATTCTTAACAACAGAAAGTTTGGGGGCTTTGACTTAAAAACAAACCTGATTCAAATCTTGACTTGTTAGAACCTGACCCTGAGCGCATTGCTTAGATGCTCTGAACTTGTGTCTCATTAACTGTAGCTGCTAGGGTGCCAGCCTTGAGTGTAAAAGCTAAGGACAGCACCCAGGACCTGAGTTCAAGCCCCGGTACCAGTACTGAACAAATAAATCTCTAAACCAAAATATCAGGAGACATGGTTTCCTTTACCTTCATGGTCAGGTTCTTTAAGAAATGTTGTGTGTCCCCCCCCACCCCTCCCCAGGCCAGGCCCTTCCTTGTCTGAAGTACCTGCTGTCAAATGTAATAAAGCCCAAGACAGGCTAAAAAAATAAAAATAAAAAATAAGTTGGGTGCTGGTGACTCAAGCCTGTAATCCTAGCTACTCAGAAGGCTGAGATCTCAGGATCATGGTTCAAAGCCAGCCCAGGCAGGGAAAGTCTGTGAGTCTCTTATTTCCAATTAACCACCAGAAAACTAGAAGTGATGCTGTCGCTTAGAGTGGTAGCTAGCCTTGAGCAAAAAGAGCTCAGGGACGGCGTCTAGGCCTTGAATTCAAGCCCCACAAGTAAAAAAGCTGGGGGAGAGGGGTCAGGTTGCTTTAAGAGCTTGTACGTTTGCAGATACAGACTGGCCCCTGATCCTACAGGAAAAACCATTCCAATCATAACCGTCCCCAGAACTCCCTTTTCTGCTAGTTTTTACCCAGCCCTGATATATGGCTGGGGGAGGCCACTCCTTGGCTTGGTCTTCAAGGCTGGGCTGAAGCTGGGCCCATCCCCTTCCTCAGAACAAGAGCAATGCCACACCACTTGTGGAGCTGCCACTGGGACCGGCACACACGGCAGCACACACGCGGTCACCAGCCCTGCTGCTGTGTGGGCGTGGGAAGTGCTGCCGACTGCCTGTCCACATCTGTACCACGGCTGCACTGCAGAATGTACCTGCCCCTGTGGGGGGTTTGTGGTGAGGCGCTCAAACACACCGATGCAATGCTTCCCCCTCACGATGACTTAGAAACCTGGCACTGTCCTTAACTGCCTATGTGACAAGTGACTCAAGTTCTCAGGGCTGCAGGGTGGCCATCTGTAAGTGAGGAAGACACCCTTACCACATGAACACATGCGCCATGCCCAGCCGGCAAGGGAGCTGCAAAATGTGCGCGTGGTGGGGGGAGGGGGAGACTGTAACCAGCACAATCCCCACCCCCTGAAAACCATGCCATTTGTCCTTGAATTTTTCAAACCCAGTTTAACTTTGCCTGGTCTCAGACACACATGGTTGGGCCGTGACATCATAACACAGTCTTATGAAAACCCCACACCCAGGACCCAGGGAAGAAATTGGGGGTGGAGCCTGCAGCTGGGTGGGTTGGGTGGGGAAGGCTGGGTGGGGCCACCACTATGAGTCAGACCTGGGCTTGGTGGGGTGTTGGCGTTCCCCTTTATTTCAGGAGTTACAGCTTAAGCAAAACACCACCTGAAATGCCTGGAGGAACTGCTGTGCACCAATGATGTTTCTTTGCCGTCTCTTGGTGTGGCTGAGTTTTTTTTTGGTCCGGTCGTGGGGCCTGAACTCTGGGTCTGGGCACTGTCCCTCAGCTCTTCAGCTCAAGGCTAGTGCTCTACCACTTGAGCCACAGCACCACTTCCGGCTTTTTTCTTCTTGTTTATGTGGTGCTGAGGAATCGAACCCAGGGCCTCATGCATGCAAGGCAAGCGCTCTACCACTGAGCCACCTTCCCAGCCCAGTGGCTGAGTTTTTTAACAGTACAACACAGTGCTCAAATATGCAGACATCTGGGAGCTGGCATGTCTCTCTTGTTTTTGTTTTGTTAGGGCCTGGGCGCTGTCCCCGAGCTCTTCTGCTCAAGACTGGCACTCTACCACTGGAGCCATGGTTCCACTTCTAGCTTTTTGGTAGTTAATTGGAGAGTAGAGCCTCACAGACTTTCCTGCCCAGGCTGGCTTTGAACTGTGATCCTCAGATCTCAGCCTCCTCAGTGAAGCTAGGAATTATCAGCGTGAGCCACTGGATGTCTGCAAAGTGGGAAGATGAAGCCCTTCCCAAAGGATGTCCATGACAGTGTGACTCTACGCTGCCCCGAAACCCTTGTGGGTCTATTTTCTCTTTGGCAAACCTGGGAGTTGGGCTATAGATCTTGCTACTCTAAAAATACTGTGTGAAGCAGATTGGGATTTTGAGCTCTAGGCTGTCTAGGGTGGAGCCTGGGGTGGGGGACGGACGGGAGGTGACACCAACAGTCCCCATGGCGGGAGGACCCCCTGTGTACCCTCAGGTCCACATCATGGCCAGAAGAAGCCTGCTGCTCAGACCTGCATGCTCCCTTCCTTTGGTGCTTCTTTGCAAGCAACAGGCCCAAAGCCTCCCCAGACCCCGGCACTCTGCCTTGCCTTCCCTAGCCCCCAAGGCCGCTGGCCAGCCCGGCAGATGACCGGATTCAGGACAGACAAGGGAGAGGAAAACTGCCCCATCCTGGCTGGAGGCCTTGCTCATGCCAAAGCTGCAGGAATCCCTGAGTGTCTTTTCGGTTGTGGATGTGAAGGTCCAGAAAGGACCCCAGGCGCAAAGCCTGTGGGAGAGGCCAGCGAAGGACCAAGGCCTGTATGTGGCTGGGGAGCCTCAGCTGCAGGTGGGCAGCTTCCAGCATCTTCTCTGCAGCTGAGAAATGCATGGCCTGTGATAACAGGACTGAGAGTAGAAAGGGGAGGCGGCTGGGGCTTCTGCTCCGTGGCTAGGTGACAGCTGAGGTCTAGAAAGTGGCCTGACAGGGTACCGGGGGTGTGGGTGGCATTGTCCAAAGACAAGGCAAGAAGCTGGGCATTAACCGAGGGGGCCCCACGCCCGGTGCCACCAACAGCTCAGTTGGAACAGGGGCTTGGAGTGGCACCCCACCAGTGCATTGGCCCAGAGGCCTCTGGGAAGGGAGAGAGAGGAGAGGGCTGGGGGGGGGAGGGCGTGGCCAATCTCATCTGGAGGAAGGGGCTACTGTGAGACACAGCCTGTCTGTGACATGGGCCTCCAAGGGAGGCCTGGGGTGGATTAGAGGGGTAAATGCTCAAAAAGGCCCTGGCACAGTGCTCTGCCCATGGAGCCAAGTATCACCTGCTTGATACTAGGGGAGCACCATCTTGGCTACCGGCTGCCTCCACCACAGCCCCAGAGGCCCCGTGAATTGCCACATGGGACCCCCCCCCGTGCCCCTGCCCACCTCTGTGAGCTCAGGGCCATTAGACCACAAAGTGGAGGGCGTAGGTGAGCTGGTGGCCATTGTCCCAGGCATACAGCACGCGCTCCTTGGGGTTGTAGTCGATCTGCGTGGTGTAGGAGTGCTCGTTGCGGAAGGGCAGCTGCGGGCGCGCGTCGGTGCCCGAGTGCGTGTCGAAGGCATAGGCCACCTGGCCTTCCGGCTGGTTGTAGGTGTCCACGGCGTACAGGATGCCACACACCAGGAAGCAGTTTCCATAGGAGTTCCGCCGCAGCCTCGTCTTCCACGTGGTCTCCCGGTGCACAGAGAGGTCGCCGGGGTCCAGGCGGCTCAGCACGATCACCTCGGATTGGGCCTCGTCACGGTCATCCACGGCGGGGTAGATGACCCACAGGCCGCTCTCGTCCACAGCAAAGTCAATGTCCGAGTGGCCACGCCACTTCCAAGGGGTGGTGTCCTCATACACCACATCGGGCAGCAGCGCCCAGGAGGCCACGAAGCGCTGGCGCAGGTCGTACTTGATGATGTTCTTGGTGAAGGCCCGGTTGTAGTAAAAGGCGCCCTGGTACACCACGTGGCCGGTGCCGATCCAGTTGTAGGGCAGCTTGTACATGTTACTCCAGCGGCCTGCCGTGAGAGGGTTGTGTAGTCAGATCGGAGCCCACCCCACACACCAACAGACCAGCAAGGGTCTAGAGTGGACCCCAGCCGTGGAATGACACGGCGAGGCTGACTGAGACACAGAGTGATGCCAGCCCTGTGCTGCCACAGGACCTTTGCCTATGCTGCCCCTTTTGTCATGACTGCCGTTCCTCATTCAATCTACAGAGAGAATGCCTGCCTGGTTTTCAGAGCCTTCAGCCACTGTGACCTCCTCCAAGAAGCTTTTTCTGACCTCGCTGGGACTGAGTTGAAGGGTCTTTCTTCTAGCCTCCTATAAGTGTTTGTCTTGGAAAAGGGGCCAATTTGGGGCTGGCTGCGGAGGAATATTCTTTCTAGGCCATTCTCTTGACTCCACAGATCTCAGAGTACTGTTCAAGCTTCTTCACGTGGTGAAGGCCTGTCCCAGCCCATTCTTTCACCAGCCCCCACCGTCATACCGACAGGCTGCTTCTCATACCAGACCCTCTTCTGGGTTTTCTGCCTAGACCACCCTCTCCTCTCCTGCCTGACTTCTTCCTGCTTTTCCTCCCCAGCTCAGCCCAGAGCTCCACCTCAGCAAAGTCCTCCCTGAGCTCAGGCTGCTTATCTCCCATAATGATGACCCCCATAATGCTGCCTGCCAAATCGTTCACTTTTGTCCTCTATTCCAGATTGTGGGTTTCTGAAGGGCGGTCCCTTTCGGAATGACCCCTCTCCTCCCAGCATGCCCGAGGATCTGATAAACAGTTTGCCCTTCCTTGTGCTAACAGCTGCACCGCGGGCCCTGCCCAGACCTGCAGCTCCGCCAAGGCCTGGGCCTGTTCTCCTGGAACACAGGTAATGCCCCCCCTTCACGGACTTGAGACAATACCGCAAGTAACACACACGAGCCCGCTAGAACACGGTGAGCAGCCAGCGCTCTGTCCCTGCATGGCAGGCTGCATTCCTGAGGCTGAGCACGTCCAACTTGTTGGCCGCTGTCCTCCAGTTTCTGGCCCAGGGCCAGCACAAGGTGGGGGGTGTGGGGGCCATGGCTGAACACAGGTAATCACATGACTAAGGAGGGCTGGGTGTCTGGGGGGGGCTCGCCCCAGGCTGCCTACAGCTAGCCCCCTTCCCCTGCCCAGGACCCTGACCTTGCTTGAAGTTCTCCAGGTTGCGGAACTCCACCAGGCTGTTTCCATAGTAGTAGTTGGTGACGTAGATCCTGTCGTCCCGGGCTGTGGGGTCCTTCATCCAGGCTCCCTCGTGGCGGCCGTAGCTGTGATGTCTCACGGGGGGGTCCACAGCCCGCAGGGTGCCCTCACAGCTGCCTGCGGGGAGCAACGGGCGCAGTTTCTGGTACGCAGACTCTCGAGCCAGTGCAATGGCCTTGGGAAGGTGACTGGGATCTTAGATCCCTCTATTTTTTGTTTTTGTGCTTGTACTGGGGCTCGAACTCAGGACCTGGGCACTGTTCCTTAGCTTTTCCAGTCAAGACTGGAGCTCTACCACTTGAACCACAGCACCATTTCAGCTTTTTAGTGGTCAGTTGGAAGAGTCTCACAGACTTTAGTGCCCAGGCTGGCTTCCAAACGTAATCCTCAGCTCTTAGTCTCCTGAATAGTTGGGATTACAAACACCTAGCTAATCAATCTATTTCTCTTTCTTTCGTTTTTTCTTTTTGCCAGTCCTGGGGCTTGAACTCAGGGCCTGGGCACTGTCCCTGAGCTTCTTCTGGTCATGGCTAGCACTCTACCACTGAGTCACAGCATCACTTCTGGCTTTTTCTGTTTATATGGTACTGAGGAATTGAATCCAGGGCTTCATGCATGCTAGGCAAGCAGCCTACCACTAACCACATTCCCAGCCCTCTTTCTTTTTTTCCTCCTTCCCTCCCCCAACCCTCTCTTTCTCTTTCTTTCTTTCTTTCCTTCCATCTTTCTTTCTTTCCTTCCATCTTTCTTTCTTTCTTTCTTTCTTTCTTTCTTTCTTTCTTTCTTTCTTTCTTTCTTGCCTTTTCTCAGCTCTGGGACTTGAACTCAGGGTTTTGTGCTCTCTTTTGGCTTTTTACTCATGTTCTACCACTTGAGCCATGCCTCCAGTGCTACTTTTTTCTGGTTCGTTTGGAAGTGGAATCTTTCAGACTTTTCTGCCTGGGCTGGCATCAAACCATGATCCTCCAGGTCTCAAACTCCTGAGTATTTAAGATTACAGGTGTGAGCCACCAGTGCCTGGCCATGAATATATAATATTAATTTGTCCATTAAAAAAAAGTCAGGGGGGGGGGAAGGAGGGTTGGGGGGGGGG